GTGAGTCTAACTATGCAGAACACACATGACGCACCAGGTGCGTCATTTCACAGAACGTCATATTTCAAACCAAAGATTAATAACAAAAATTACCATGAGTCCAACATTCAGATTTGAAACCCATACAGTAAATCTGACTATACAGAACACATATGACGCACCCGGTGCGTCAACCTCACAGAACATTCCAAACCTATTGTTCACCAAATTTATCTATCTCACAAATTCTAAAAAATTTTAAAGTTTTCAAATAACTCTAACTTGAAAAAGTCAGATTCGAAACAGCGAATGTTGAGGTCCGAAGGGTTCGCATGTACCTGGGATCGATAGGACGGAAGATGCTTCCTGAACAGGACTGCCCACTTTACGCCTTAGCAGGTCAATCAGGGCAGGGTAATGGGATTGACCGAAAAGAACAGGATAGTGAAGCTGTCACAGAAAAGAGACGACACCGGGCGAAGGTCTGGTGTCAATGTCGTATCGCGATCCCTTTGATCGCGCCGATAAACCTTGACTCGAAGAAATATTCTTGATGTAATCTGATGGGTCGAACATGTACGGGCAAAATCTGTAGGGAGCCTGAGCTTGTTTATATTTCACTATGGTAATTGTAATTTGGGATGTGAGAGGGAATGTGATGCTAGGGACTTTTGGGTATGCGGGTCAGTTTGGAAATTTATTTATTTGGATATTTTAGAATTTCGAATTTTTAGATTTAATAGTTTAGTTATTTCAAAATTTAGAATTTTTTGATTTACTAATTTGGTTATTTCTGAATTTATCTCGTATCAGTAATGACGCACCATGTACGTCTTATGGAATATATCACATATCACCTATGACGCACCATGTGCGTCTCATCCAATAACACCACTGACGCAACGTATGCGTCCTATCTCGTGCATTCTATACTCGCAGTGACGCACCGTGTGCGTCTTATGTAATATATCACATATCACCTATGACGCACCATGTGCGTCTCATCCTATAACACCACTGACGCGACGTATGCGTCCTATCTCGTGCATTCTATACTCGCATTGACGCATCGTGTGCGTCTTATGTAATATATCACATATCACCTATGACGCACCATGTGCGTCTCATCTAATAACACCACTGACGCACCGTATGCGTCCTATATTGTATCCTCAGTGAGGCACCCTGTGTGTCTTACCTTGTAAGATACTGTAAGTTAATGACGCACCATGTGCGTACTGTCTTGTATATTCCATATCACCAATGACGCACCCGGTGCGTTTCATGCTATACTAAAACTGTCGCAAAATTTATCATTTTTAAATTCCCCAACTTATCCATTAAAAATTTTAGAATTAAAAAATGTTCAAATGTTGCAAACTAAAAATTTGTAACATTAAAAAAATCTGGTAAAAAAATTTGGAATATCGAATAATTGCATCAGTAAAGTGTTTCCGAATCGATGGAATGAAGAGATCGCATGATCGAAGATCACGAAATGGCGCGAAGGGTGGTCGATACAGCAGAGAAGCTTTCGAACTTATCGAGATGTTGTCTATGACAAATTACGCTCGGAGCGATCCACGGTGTTAAAGCCAGCTGATCGATTCGCTCGCCGCGATTCCAGCGTGATATTAACGGCGTGCGAGCGACGTGTTCGCCAATTATCGTGAAATTTGCACGCCTGCCGGCTGCGCCTTCCCTGAACGTTCTTAATGACGCCGCGACCCGGCGGTTGTTGTAAATCAATTTTTAATTGCGCAGCCGGTTCAGGACGTTGTGTACGCACCGCTGATAACTTGCTATGAAATTCGATGGACAATGTACTTCCTATCAAAAGTTGTAGTAATCTTGCATGTTTATACAAACTGGACTTTTTAAGATTGCTTTTATTTTATCGTTTTATTTCTGCTCACCTCTTTATTTTATTGCTTTATTAGGTAATTTTATGGCAGCCTGCCATTTTAGCTTTTTATTGGTACACCATTTTGTCGTGACATCATTCTACACTTTATTTTTACTGTTGGAGTAGGTTGTCGTTATAGTGTTCTTGTTTGGTCACCATTTTGGTGTTGTAGCACCATTTTATTATTTTGACATTAGGTTATATTATTTCTGAATTTTATCTTTTTACTATTTTACTATTTTATTATACCACCATTGTGCTATCATGGCGTTATACCATTTTATTATTATAGCAGTCCACCATTTTGTTATAATACCAATCCACCATTTTGTTATACCACTACACCATTTTACCACTTAACTACGTCACTATTTCATCGTTTCAACATTTAATAATTATACAATTCCACTATTTTACTATTTTTCTATTGTGTTATTTTACAATTATACAAATCCGCCATTTTGATATGCACCAATCCACCATTTTGTTGTTGTACCACTCCACCATTTTACCACTTAACTACGTCACTATTTCATCTTTTCTACATTTAATAATTATACAATTCCACTATTTTACTATTTTCTATTGTGTCATTTTATAATTACACAAATCCGCCATTTTGTTATACATTAATCCACCATTTTGTTGTTATATCACTACATTATTTCACCTATTAACTCTGTCACTATTTTATCACTTCTCCATTTTGTAACTATATAATTCCACCATTTTACTATTTTTCTATTGTGTCATTTTATAATTACACCAATCCGCCATTTTGATATGCACCAATCCACCATTTTGTTGTTGTACCACTTCACCATTTTATCACTTAACTATGTCACTATTTTACCATTTCAGCATTTTATGATTACACATTCCACCATTTTACCAATGCATCACTAAATTATTACACCACTTAATAATTACACTGATCCGCCATTTTGTTATTTCACCACTCCACCATTTTGTTATTACACCAATCCGCCATTTTATTATTATAACACCTCACTATTTTATCATTCACAGCCTCACCAATGCACCACTTTATAATTTCATCTCACAAAACAAATAACCTTTTAACTTACCTGTAACCCTAGTTTCTTCCTAGATTTCCCTATATCTCTCTGAAAATAAAAAATCCCGTCAAAAACTTTGAACTCACCGTCCCAAGAATTCTACGAAGCCCGTACACGAAATCCGTTCGGATAAATAATTTGATGTACACATAATTGAACGTTACAGCATTGTGTTCAGTAAAAAAAAGAACCACTAGAACATGGTTGTGCCATTCAGAATACGAGCTGTTATCGAATTATTTCGAGGTGAAATTGACAGGCGGTACCAAAGCACGATGGTTAGGGTCCTTCGCTGACAATGTGAATCTGTAATTAGAAGACTCGCCGTCTTCTGTTGGCGTCCCTCTCCGCTACAAGTCCCTTTTTTCTTCTGTTTTTGTTCACGTAAAACCTCTTGCAGCCACGTATTATCGTCTTGAATCAACAGAGCCGAAGCTAAGCGGTTCAAAAGGGACTCGGTGGTCAGGGAACCCCCGAAACAGGAGAGATGGCACGAGAGGGACTTAAATAGTAGGTCTCGCTTAATAACCATGGTCCCACAGCGTAAACTGAATGTCATTGCAGTAGATTCGATCACGTGACACGGCACTGACACCGTAATGCCAGTGTACTGCCTCCCCTTTTATTGTTAGATTCGTGGAAGGTGAAAAAGGAGCACATTTTCCGATAGTGATTTGTCATTCCACGATTTTGGAACAATTGGTTTGAAGCCGATTTATGTTGCGGTTTCATTCAAATTTTATAACCTGTACACACGAGGACATGTCTTGCTTATCTAGAAAAAATGGCGACCTATGATAAAAACACCTCAACGTAACTTAGGTACTTTCAAAATTATTGAATAATAATAATTTTCCGCAGTAAATCTTTTGTGTACTTCATTTTAGACTAGAAAGTTCTTGCACTGGTCTTTTTTTATTTGTGTAAATTAATTTTTGATCTTTGAACTTCAAACTGAGATTCACATTAATTAAAGTACCATGGCGACTTAAGTTGTAGATGTAAAAAATTATAATCTATTAAATTAAACGAATTATAATATATTTAATCAAATTATAATGTATTAAACGTCATAACTTTTTGTTAAAAACTTAGGAAATGGAATTAAAAAGTATTGCAGAACATGGACTGAAAAACTGGCGTCCATCTAGCGGTGAAAGGTGGAACTACGAAAATACAAAATTGTGATTTTGGACAAAATTAGTGCATTTTAATTATTTCTAACGCTTGTGTATTGATATATGATCAAATTAGAAGTAAAATAATGTCATGAAAGCTAGCTGAAAGCTCTGGAAACGAAAATGAATAAAATGTAGTTTTATGGAGGAAAATTGTGGCGTCATCTAGCGGCGGAACAGATGAACTAACCGTAAAAAACGTATTTCCGTACACGCACATTGGAAAAATATAAAAAATCAAATTTCATGACTATTTTGATATAATATGTTTCTTGAGACATTTTAGAATAAATTTTGATTAATACTTGTTGTATTTTATTGCTGATTAAGGTCAGAAAATCAATATTTATTTAGCTTGGTTCAAAACGGTACACATGCCGCCATCTTGAAGTGAAAGGTAGGCATCTTGCAATGAACTGGCGCCAAATTTGAAATGACTCCTCGAGAAATTTGGATTTTTCAAGCTTAATCGATAAAAATATACCTCAAACCTTGATAATAATTTACTTTAAAATGTCTGAGGAAACTTAATGCACCCAGAAAATCATGAAATATGACTTTTTATAATTTCCTAATATGCGTACTCAGGCATACGTTTTTCTCCATTAGTTCGTCTATTTCGCCGCTAGATGGCGCCACACTTTTTCTTCATAAAATAACCTTTTTGTAATTCTCGTTTCCAGAGCTTTCAACAAGCTTTTCTAACATCATTTCACTTCCAATTGGATCATACAACAATATACAAGCATCAAAAACAATTAAAATTCACTAATTCTGTCTAAAATCGCATTTTTACATTATTGTAGTTCCACCTTTCACCGCTAGATGGACAATTTCTTAGTCCACTACAGCTTCCAAGAAACATAATCTGGACACAATTTTTTTATTTTAATTTAAGTAAACAAATATGAAAGTGTCAGAAATTGGCTCAAGCAGCAGTACAAGTCTGATCTATTACTCTTTAATGACACAGCATTAAACGTTGCCAGTTTGGCACGAAATGCATGATTATGCATTTAGCAACAATGTTGCACGCCATATCGCATGATCTAAAACTTAAGTGGCTTTTGACTGAAGATAACATTCAAACGAGTACATAAAATGAAAATAGCAGAATTTTTAAAATGACGTAAATTTAATGAAAACGCCGAAGATTACATTGAGGTATATACAAAATGAGCTTAATTTAATCGGTAGTGATTAATGAAATCATACAATACATGAATAGCCGAATGTTTCCGCATTATGTACATGTACGCAACGCAATGTTGGCATGGTTTGCTATACGGCATAAATCCCTAAATCGGCACTTCTTCTGTTCGGAAAGACGCGCCGAATGTTAAGATAAAATAACCACGTAACAATTTCGTTGCGTTACACTCGATTGGAATATTGTACTAACCAATGTAAAATATTTCAATAAATCAGAAAATTCTCGTTCTCGTGACGGTGATATATCAAAACATGATTCAATAATAAAAAAAAGAGGCTTAACAGCGGATTAATATTCCTAGAAAATTTCTATGATGTTTACGTATCAATAATAGCAAAATATTATAACAAGTAACAATTCTGAAATGTATTCACTAACTGAATTATCAACTTCTCTTTTTCTACTTTTTTTCTGCAATTTTCTCTTACGGTAGTAAATATTATATAAATTATTAATACGTCTGTTCAATACAATTCAGTTTATACACAGAATTAAACGAAACGTTCGAAGTGAATCGCTGAACATCACTACATTAAATTACAATCTATGAAAACAACAACAGCAGCTTTCGAAGCTCTGTTCGATGGCAGTGTAAAAATATTGTGAACATTTAAGACACTTCATCCGGGATTCAGGAAGCAAAAATTGCTGGAAGAAATTACGATCACGCAAAAAAAAAAATTGTTATAAAAAATACGCTTTTTCCATCATTGAAAATAATTTAGTTCAACGTATAATATATGTACGTGTAGCGTACATGTATTATACGATAAGCCTCTAAACGTATCAATATCTAGTTTCTTTTCTAACAACTCTGAGATAGTGATCCCAATTTTTGCGAATACCACCGCCATTGGACGATCCTTTTGAAACTCAATCATGGAAAAAAGATAAACTAAAAATAATATTGCTGAATTTCGAAACAAAAACTTCCTTGTACTTTAGTGCGCTAAAAATCGCGATGAACAAATATGACCCGTAATAGAGAAGCGAATTTCCCGATTCGTCCGAAACAGTTATAATACAACCACTTTTCATATTTATCACCGTGTATAGAGCTAGCCAGCGTCTAACCGTTGCTTCCTTTTTTTTCTCGTTACGTTACGGTATATTATAAATATTTTATAAACGGCGAAGAAATGTTACACTATATACAAAAACGTGTGACCTTGAAATTTGCCTATAATGGAAAAGTTAAATACGCAACGTACAGTCGCATTTTATTTTTCTTCTAGCAGTCTCAGAGTTTGTATTCCGTTTGTTGCAACCGTTTTTCTTTTTCAATTTTTCATCGATTACTGAAGCCACCACAGTGTCATCTGTCGGATTTGTCCCCACACGAAAAACGACAGTTTCAGAAGTAAAAGTATGATGGACAATACACTATGTGATTTCGGTAATTCCTATTATTATAACTTATAAAGGACGTATGTTATACTATCATACCCATAAAAAAATCTGTTCCTACGTTATAAATCCTTTCGAATATTATATCAAATGTACAGGGTCCTTATATTCTTACATGATCTGCCGAATGTGGCGTTTTACTCCTTTCACATCTTTTTAGTTTAATATTGTCTATCGTACATCCCGACAGTATATAATAAGTACGAAAACAAAAGTGCTGTTTTCTCCATACGATTATCTTACTGTCCGTAATATTTGATCCGAACTTTTGTTCCGCTCGTGGAAAACGGTATTAAAAGATTCGATGAAACATCGCGTGCCACATTCTAAACATAATCCACATTTGTACTTGTCAAATCATACACGAGTATTTATAAATGTTCATTAAATACGCGTCCAATGATACTGTTTGTAACAAGAGAATATATGCGATACGGGTCACGTGACTCGACCTAATAAATATTGAACAGTATAATCAAACATAATGAAGATGCTACTATTGATACAAAGTTTCAATTAGCAGATTCGTATCAGGTTTCACATGAAACTCAGAGTATGAGATGAATACAAATTATACGCAATTAGTGACTAAAAATATTACATGATCACGTATTATCACCGTACAGTTTCTTTACAGTACAATTAGTTGAGGACTAAATTTCTAATTGGTACCTTATGAAAATGATACTTCTTCTGGAACTACGCTCTCTAACGGTACTGGATCCGCAAACCCGCGCGCGATGAGTTCGTCAGCAAGAGATATCACCTGCAAAATGATAACAATATAACCAACCATAACAGCAAATAAAATATATTTAGATCTCGATAACTAATCATATATATTCTATCTTCCATGTAAGAAAGGTTACTTACTCCATGTTTGTTAATATTAAAATATAAATTGACATATGTGTTCGTATTAATATATCCTGCTATTTGAGCTTGACCGACAATTCTCGAACACATATGAAGGACTATGTTGTATGCTTCTTCATTCCACTCCCCTGATGTTCAGACAAAATCAGTGAAATGCATGAAAATTTTAGGTTATACATAACCTCACACAGTGGACTTACCGTTCTTTGGTTGCACATTCGCTAAAAATACTTCAATTGCTTGGAACGGCAACGTTAGATAATCTGACCTAATTTTTTTCATTTCTGAATTACTGAAAAACCAATAACCACCGTGATCCACGAGCCTCACTAAATGTCGTTCTCCATTGGGATCCGGTTGTTCAACGAATACCCTGACCCATTTAGTATACCATTTTGCAACTAAAATCATACCTCCTGTAAATTGCAATACATACAATTAATTAGACAGGTTTATGAGAGTAACACCGACTATTATCTGAAGAATGTCAGAGAACTTCAGTTGTAAACGTACTACTAAGATCATCTGGAACTGGAGGTGATTCTGTGGTGTCATATAATTGTGTCATGTTTTCGTCTAAAATCCGCAAATATGGGTATGAGGGGTGTGTGGGAAGTTGTACGAAAAATCGATTTGGTTTAACTATATGACACATAACAACGTCATTGTTCACTCCTTCCACTAAAGACAACTGCATCAACTCTGTGACCCACGGAATTTCTTCTGGTAATTTTGAAGACACAATCTGTTCGAGAGTCACTTGAGGATACTTCTTCTCTGGAAACTTTTGTCGTATCATGTCTAGGGCAATGTTGATTCCTTCATTAGAACCTTCTATGGCACAAATTTTGTGATCTCTTGATATGGGATGACGTTTGATAACTATGTACACTTCAGCTTTGACTCTGATGCTTTGTAAGAAACTCCCATGGTGACCAATTAATTTTCCTAATAAATGTTGCGGTATACTAAATTCATATAACACTGGATTTGCTGTGCCCTTTGGATGGCCTTTAATACTTCCACCTAGAACAAATGTTATTAAATCAATAACACGACATTCCAAGTTTGTTTCCTTTGAAGAATATTACCTTTTCCACTGTCTGTACTCCCTTCACTTCTGACTTCATCTGTAACGCTACCTTCTAAAACACCAGAGATTGGACTGTGATTGGCAGAGTCTCTTTCAGACAGTGCTTGAGCCGGAGTCTTGACAGTTTCTTTCAATGGGGTGGAACCAGATAATTCTTTGTTTGGAAGATAATTGCATTCATTGCTAGTATCAACTTTCGGGTCTTTGTTATCAAGCTCTGTGTTGTTCTCACCAGGTAACTTTTGTTCCTCTTCCTCAACAACATTGTCAAATATTTTCAATACTTTACCACTGGTATCAGTGACGTTTTCCAAAGACGAATTTCTACTTCTGGCAACCATTTCGAAATTGCTTATCTTAGGATTACTGCTCAGCTGTATTTCCATTTTGCTCGCCGGTGTGTTTATATAACCATACCATTGTTGATCATCTTTACAAGACACTCTCGAATGTGCAGAAACAGGCTGTGAGCAAGATTTCCTCTGAGGAATATCTAAACTTTCGCTTCTTTTTCTTGGGCTACAAATGATATCATCTATCAGCTGATTAGAAGAATTCAATGAGGATGTTTCATCAAACTGTATGCCAGAATCGTAAAAATTCAAGTTGGATTTTGACGGAGGTATATCCTTTTTATGATTGACAAAGTTCTTGTCACTATTATCTGCAGTGGTAATTCCACCTGGATCAGTTCTGTCTACTCGACGACGTCTGTACCACAATAGACCAATTATAAGTGCAAAAGCAGGGAAGGTCCACTTCACAACTTGGATATGAGTAGCTGACATGTTTCAAATCCACCGTAGCGATTGTTGTTAAAAACCTTTTTCTCCTGAAACACAAATGATTATGAATTATTATCAGGTGGGAGGATTTTGAAATCTAGGAATATGGGAATTTTGGGAAAATTAAAAATTTATGATTAGGAAAATTTTTTATTTCTAAATTTACAAATAATTGTGTTTAAAAATTAGGGGTACTAATTAGGGATTTAGGAACAGTTGCTTTGTAGTACAGTAATTAGGAATAAATTAAGATAAATAATTTTAATTTTCAAGTTACAGTATTAAATTACATTTGAATTATACCGCGAGTAAAAGGATATAATTGAAAATATAACGGTTCAGTTATCAACTATACAAACTTGCTGAAACCTAACTCCACTTGAGCTCTTGTCTTACTCGGTTTCCTTTGCTAATTACCGTTTCGCAAGCGTAACTTCCGGCTATATACTCGCTCGAATAACTTAAAGCAAAACACAATATTCGATATAAAGAAAAGTTTGAAATTTTCGGCGGTAGTCGAAAAAGGGCCATATAGCGAGACTCCGCTCAAAGTGGCTCAAAATGAACCAAAATAAAAACTACACATCAGGGAATATAACATAATTGCCGCCGCATAAAGTGTGCTCAGTTTCCATCTGCTAAAGTCCGGAGAAAGCGTTCCATTTCATCTGGTAATTGCACAGAACGAACGACCTTTCGAAAATCTTCGAATTCTGAACAACAAACAAGTACACATATGTAACATATGTAGTCTTAGAAAAACGTTCGAATACTTTATGGCACAAAAACTTCACCCAAAATCCTCGAAGTAACTGACATCGATCGAGTGTATTTCTACGGGACACCGGACGCACGAGGATTCTAGAAACGAAGGTTGAAACTATAGGATAGATTTGTATGGGACTCACCGACGTTACGTCCATGCTTATTCCCATCTGTGACCGTTCGACAAACCGATAGCTTGTTACAATCGTCCGTAACAGGTTCTAAACTGACGAAAACCGAAAATTCCACGGGACTTTCAAATAATTAACACAGGCAAGTCGAAGGTACTGTTAATGCGACTAACGCGGTACTGCGGTTTGCGGAACAAGCGCGGATTTCAGCACGTGGTAACTCCAGACCAGTTCGACTGGAACCGCTCACCACTGCGCATGCGCGATTACGTTAAGTGACATTCACATCGCGATAAGATTCAAACTGATATTTTTTTTTAACGTTACAAGATTGTTCAAACACACATTTTCAAAAATATAAATCAATCGTTTAAATACAGAAATGTGTACTAATTTAAAGCTCCCTTTATAGGGAGATATATATAGTTAAAGGCAGTAAGGTTTGCTTGCAAATATTTTAACGCTAACGACGGTATTTAATTCTGAGCTCATAATTACGTAGGCGATTTAAACTGCCAGTGCAACACGTGCCACTGATTTCTAAATACAGCTGTATAGCTGAACTTTCGGTCGATTGTAACTTTCTATAAATCAACTGATTAGAAAGATAATGATACTTCAGATTGCAGTTTTGTGATTACAATTATCATTGCGAGTGTAATTATATTCGATAACGAGTTAAAAATCAGGATGAGATTTTTGTAGAATTTTTTGTTTCTGAAAATCGGAAAAAGTGGATTTAACGTTTATCATAAAATCTGCGTTGAAAGTAAAAGGATTAAAATTGACGATCAGAAGGAAGGGATTACGTAACGGCGAATAAAATTATAGGTTTCCATCGGACGGGTGTTAGGCGTAGGATACAATTTCAAGCAGTCACACGCGAACCGGTAGCTCCGTGGAATTCGCGTTGTGCATGTTCTACTGCAAAAAAGTGTCGATTTCCTAATCGTAAGAATTTCTCTTCTTTCGGATCGAGTGGAGAAATAATAGTTCTTAGTCTTTGAGGAAACTTTACAGGTTCATAGAATGAGACTTTGAGGTTAGTTTTGGCGCCATTTTCAACTTATCCTGACATCCTGATCTCTGTAACTTGTAAAATAAATTTTAAGTATTCAAGCTTTATAATACAAAAAATTTTAGCAGATTCTAAATATTGCAACTTGCAGAATAAAAATGTTAACGTTACAACTGGTAATATTAAGAGGTTAATGTGTAATATCATACGGATGAGTCGGTCGGAATTAATTTGTATAACTAGCAAATGTAAATGCGTGACCATAAATGAATACCATATGATCCAGATTCATTCATTAGTTCCCGCGTTGAACATTGCTGCCTACATGTTTTTTTTTTGTATTTTATAATGACAAAGATGTGACTGTACTATATTAATTATTTCATACGTTAGTATTAATAAATACTGTAAAGAATAATTAATAATAATTAATAAAATAATTAAAAAAAAGTGTGACTGTACTATATTAATTATTTCATACGTTATTATTAATAAATACTGTAAAGAATAATTAATAATAATTAATAAAAGATGTGACTGTACTATATTAATTATTTCATACGTTATTATTAAATACTATAAATAATAATTAATATACTGTAGCTCTGTAGCAGTATAAATATCAAATGAAAAAGATATATTTGCTGATACCATCTAAAATTCTGCTATCTTGATTTTTTTAATGTTACTGATCTCTCATCTCTGAAATGAAAGTTGTTTTGTAATGTGACCTTTTTAAAATTACATAAAAGCGATAAAAAGTATTTTTATCTACTTTGCAATGTATAATTCAATGCCTCATAACGTCCATCGACATCTTATCGAAGGTTATAAATTCGTCAGTGCAAGGCTTTCCATTAAGTGATGCGTTAATTTATTGCAACTGAAAATTTAATTCAGGGAATCTAAAAAGTAGAAAATTCACAGATTAAGTTTTGAGTCTAAATCAAAATGTTTTTAATTAATTTTTTTTGTAAAAATTATAAAGCAAATGAAAAATCTAATACCATTTCTTTATTATGCATGTCTTAAGGTACATGAAGGTATTTTTTTATTTTCATTTACCAATAAAATGGCGGCTCTACAGCGGCCTCACAGTGGTTTCTTATAGAACGCCTATAAACACAGAATAAACTAAGCTCTGTTCCTCATAGCTATTTCACAGCTAAATATCTATATTTTCATCGTTAACTTTACTAAATAAATACATAAGAATATTTATAAATATTAATTATTACAAAAATTTAATATTTGAAAAGAAGGATTACTTTTCACAAAAAATTTTACCAATAAATTTTTGCAAAATAACATAAAATGATGTTAATAGTGCTAAATAAATTGTATTGAAGTTACCCAGAAAATAAAATATCTTAATCTTTTATTCTAGGTCACCGTTACAGTTATGCTGCACATGTGCTCCCAAAAACCGCTATTGTGAGGAAGCCACAACTCCGCCATTTTGTTGCGCAGCAAAAATAAAAAAATACCTCTGTACACCTCAAAATATACACAACAAAGATCCTACCTTGGTTTTTCCATTTACTGAATGGTCTCCCTAAAAAAAATTCCCAAAGCTCTGATGACATCAAACTATAACCTCTCTCGATTCATCGAACGAAGTCAATTATTTTTAAACGTTAAATAGTAGTGAACAACGGGTGAATGAACGTAAGCAATTACTATCGAACACATTTGCATCGGAAGGGCGACTTCAATGGCCGCTTAATCTGTTTCGACGTCGAGTGAGAAAGAAGATCGGCCAAGGTGAGGCAAGAACACGATTTCAGCTCTTACCGGTGCTGCTCGAAAGGGAGAAGGGATATGTGCCGCTGTACGAAAGAGAAAAAAAGAAGTTAAATTAAAATGAAACCGGTAACTGTTGTTCGACGTAGTTGCTCGAACTAGGTTACGTGCATTTATCTTCCCGGTGAAATAATTTTTTAACAAACCATACACTTATAAAGTTATACACTTTAATATAATTTCATTATATAAATATTTACGTGATGACATTACTTGGTGACACTTGAAGTGTTATGCTTCACGGAAGAGGGTGTTTTCCAATTTTGTCTCAAACTGCACAGTTTTAAATATGGCTGAAGCATTTACCTTCTCATTTCGAAAGTCCTGAACTTTTGAATTTTATGTAACTTCAAATATCACCTTCTGAATAATTAATCAGGAGTTATGGGACACCCCGTACATTCACGCCGTGAATCTACTTAACGTTCTTGCTTAATGCCTTTCAATGGCTTCGAGCTATTCGAGTCCCACTTATTAATTTCTAAGATTATCTCGAATACGGATGCGGGAATATTTAGATCACAGAAACTGCATCTAGGTCTCTTGTCACTTCTCCATGATACAGCAAACCTGCGTTTCTAACGACTTTGACAATCGGAAGTTTACGCGGGAAACGAGAGTCACGTGACCAAAGATATATTGGTCACGTGACCAATTATTACGTATACTAATATATATTTATAGTTGTTATATTAATATATATTTATAGTAATAATATTATTACCAACTGTAAGTTGCAAAGTGCTTGTAAAAAAATAATACACTGTATATGTTAAATGCGAGACACTGCAGGTTATATTTGTAGACACATGGTTAAGCTTATTGTATCAGTTTGCCGGTTGACAGGTGGAGACACCCGTCGAAATGGCGGGTTTACGATCGTTACATGAAAATATAGATATATAAGAAACGACCGGTGACCGCGGTTCAACGTGCTCTCGGAATGCCCAACCTGCACACGCAGAACGATGAAGTAACCGAATCCGGGTAAGAATATCAAGAAGAAAAGGAACGGGACGAGGAAGAACTCGTGAGAAGGACCGAAACCGCAAGAAAAAGAAACATATGGTTCAGCAAAGGTACATCGAAAATAAATAAACCGTTTAAATTATTTCAGTCTGTAAATTTAATTTGCCGCCGAGCGGTTTGAATTTCGCGCCACGCGTGGGCACCATAACTATAAAATTTACACCGAAAAATTATCTTAAAAATAAAGTGACAGCTCGTAGTATTTAACACAGAAAGTTATGATAACGTTCGTAATTCGAATGAAACGAAAAGGCTAAAGATCATGGACGTTAATGAATGTGAGAGTATACCATAGTTACTGATAAAAGATATCGCGGTGCAACTACTATGAATAAAACAGTTGGTAAAAATGATGCGAAGATAAACTTGAGCGTAAATTATCCTTTAATTCAGGATTGAGTCAATGATATTTATTATCGCGATGAAGAGTTGTAAATGTTATATTTGTAATCTCGATAGCTATCGACGGTAAATCGCAGGAAATACATTGTAGATTGTGGTGACCTTGTATGGGAAGAGTGCTTATTTACAAAACAGAGTAACTAGAAATATTTGAGACTATATGGTGTACTGATAGTTTCAGTTTGAATATAATATTCATATAATATAAAAATTAATGTAAAATATAATATATAATGTAATATAAAAATTAATATAAAATGTAATGTATAATATGATATAAAAATTAATATGAAATATAATATATAATATGATATGAAAATTAATATATAATATAATATAAAAATTATCTGCGGTTTCAATAAATATAAGACTAAAAAGTATCACAAATTTATTAACCAGAATATTGTAATTTTATTTTGTTATTGAACAATTTAAGTAACTGACGGAAACTGTGACCTGATAAAAAAAATGTATATCACTTATTTAGATAAAAATGTTCACTTCACTTGATATTCAATTTTTTTATATAGGTAAATCGAACCGAAATTAGTACACGGAAATAACCAATGCCATATTCATGGCCAATCTCCTTAGAAAGCGACACGAAACCGAACGTATCTTAGAAATAGCACATATGTAACTAAAAGCGACTCCACAGTGTGTTGACCCTTTAAACGCCCATACATACGGAGCAGATACACCATACGTATATATAGGGTGTCTGAATAAACATAGCGGGACTATGTATAGAAAAGGGAATTAGTAGAATTTCAAGTTTACTTTCACAATGGAAATAAATTTGTAAATTAAAAAATTTATAGTTATATAATTTTTGTACATCTTCCCGCTAATAAAACTACACCCGGTACATGCAAACGCTTCACGTGTGTACTCTCCTTTTTTAAGCATGTCGCTTTCGAAGTGTTGTTATCGATATACGCTATCGGTGGCAAAATAAATTCAAAAACTGTTGAAAGAAACGTTAGACACTGCAATTTAAAATTACTAGCTTGCCACACGATTTATCAGTATCTTCGTACGCTACAATCACAGGGTGTCATGTGAATATCAATCAAAGCTCACAGAAAAAAGGTACACGATGGAATGCGAGAGTATGAGCGGACGGAGAACGTTCTATTATACGATCACGCCATTTCCAGATGTCTACGACTCGTCCCAACTTCTTGATTACTTTGATATTAATCAATATTTAGCCGGAGAGAAATAATCAACGTGCAGTTCTGTTGTAAATAAACGAGAGCAACGAACGAGAAGAGTCTGAACGTCGCATGTTTCGAACGAACGGATTTTGTTTCTTTTCGTCCGAACATGTGGCCTTACATCGCGGTCAGCCGAATTTCGGAGATGCGACTGTAGGTCAAATTCGAGATAAATGAATGTGTAAAATAAAATGTGTTAAACAATGAGCAATCGTATTTTCTTAACTGAACGTCCGTTCGAAATGCCGAAGCCGACAAATTCGGATAATTCACGGGTTTTATATGGGGTTAAATGAAAGATAACAAAGAAAAACCGCTAGGCGAGACATACGAGCACGAAGTCTGTTTGGGATGAATGACGTACCTGTGTAATTACACCTCGATTGAAGTACAACTTTCCCTGGAACGGTCTGTACGCGTCCTGTGAACAATTACGATGAACTTCCGGGGACACCGAACAATATTTTTCTCGAATTTCGTAGAAAATTACGCCACGTTACCACAATGTTTTCCCTGACTCGTGAGAGACAATATGGCGGCACGAATTCGGGTGCAGCATGGCCGGAATGGTGCGACTGCAGCGCCATGCAATGACAATTCCCGTAACTTTATGTGGCGCTAAATTTCATTCACTTTCAAATTCTAGTTATTGTACGTAATAAAAAATACAGCCTATATGGCTTAGAAAGTCGATTAAATATTTCTTTGTGGTGGGTGAAGCGTTTGCGTAAAGTGGGATGAGATTACATATGAGAAATATACTTTAAAAACTTTTATACCAGCATTTTACTATTTTACTATTTTTCTATTTTATTATTTCAGTATTACATTATTATATTCTTTTACTATTTTAATATTCCACTTGTTTACTTAGTTACTGTATAATTCTTTTTTAAATGGCCTTGTTTTATGTCATATGCGACATTATCGATTGAAACTAAAATAGCGCTACCGGAAATGTAGGAATTATGATCGAACGATAATTAATTATTTAATATCATTCTCTACATAACCGATACAATATGGAAAATATTCAAAATGAAGCGGGAACGCAAAATTAAATATATTAAAATTATAAATGTATCTATTTAATATTTGTACTGTATATCTTTTTTGACACATTTACAAAAATGTAAAATATGTCCATAGTCTATGGTTCCTCTCTGTCCCACCTAACCCCATAGTACCTAACCCAACTTCGAGGACCCTCACATAACCTCACTTTTATAACGTCCGCATGCTGCGGCGTGCGTTGTTTACAGTTTAGTTTACACAGCTTGTTTTTTATTAATAAGTCTTTAATGAAAAGTGAATAGAATAATTCAACATGGGTAAAAAAGGAAAAGTAGGAAAGCAGAGGAAGGATAAATATTATCACTTAGCGAAGGAGACTGGTAATTATTTTTTTGCCACATTATAATTTAAGTTTATATAACAAAAATTATGACTGTTAAAACTACATACTTTATATATAAATTACTAGAACTTAGTACATCGTGTACTAAGTTTGACTTTACTATTTGTCAAATGAAAGATATCTTATAGGTTATGTTTTGTAGGTTATAGATCACGTGCCGCTTTCAAGTTGATCCAGCTGAACCGCAAGTTTGAATTCTTACAAAAGTCTCGAGTATGCATAGATTTGTGTGCTGCTCCTGGTGGGTGGATGCAAGTCGCCCGTCAGAATATGCCAGTATCCTCCATAGTAGTCGGCGTAGATTTGTTTCCTATAAAGCCCATACCAGGATGTATCAGCTTAGTGGAAGATATTACCACAGACAAATGTCGTGTGGCAATATCTCGAGAATTAAAAACTTGGAAAGCTGATGTTGTATTGCACGACGGTGCACCAAATGTTGGTAAAAATTGGCTTCACGATGCGTACCAACAGGTTTCTCTAACTTTATCTGCCCTCAAAATGGCAACATACTTTTTACGGCCTGGTGGGTGGTTTGTTACCAAAATGTTTAGATCAAAAGATTATCAACCTTTGCTGTGGGTACTTCAACAATTATTTAGGAAGGTGCATGCAACTAAGCCTCAAGCGTCACGTTTAGAGTCTGCTGAAATCTTCGTTGTTTGTCAGTACTATATTGCTCCAGATAAACTGGATCCCAAATTTTTAGATCCAAAATACGTGTTCTCTGAATTAGACATAGAGCCTACAAACAAACTGAATGTACTTAATCCAGTTCAAAGGAAGCATAAAGCAGAGGGTTATCCAGAGAATGATTATACCTTGTATCATACATTGTCCGTCAAAGATTTTGTAGCACATGAGAATGCTGTGGAAGCATTGCAAACTGTTTCAGCCATTGTTTTTGATGATGAAAAGATAACGAATCATGAATTGACGACCAATGAAATCAAGGAGTGCTGTAAAGACATTAAAGTGTTAGGTAAAAAAGATTTAAGACGACTGCTAAAATGGTGGAAATCAATCAAAGAGGCTTTGGAAGAAGAAGAATCACCAGCAGAGAAGGAGGCAGATGCGACTACTGAAACAACGGAAGCACCCCCTCTGACTCAAGAAGAATTGGAAGATATGGAAGATGAAGAAATTACAAAACAGATTGGAGAACTTAGAGCAGAAACGGAGAGAGAGTTGAAACGTAAAAAGAAGAAAGTGAATAAAGAGAGGCAGAAGTTGAATATGCGACTCAATCTAAAAATGGTTCATAAAGGAAACGAGGGTCCAATAATGGAAGGGGATGAAATGTTTACTCTAAAGCAGATTAAGACACATGAACAGTTAGAGAGCGTAATAGATCAACATCCTGATGTCGTAGCGGAAAGCGACGTAGAATCCGACGACCAAATAAAACCTAAAAAGATAAAATATAATAAAGAGGAAGGACAGTTAGATAGTTCAGGATTGTATTATAAGACGGAGGATAGTGACCCTGGCAGTTCATCAGATGAATCAGACAGTGATAAATCAGGTTTAGGTATGTATTTATAATTTCCTCCATAAAAGAATGTATTATTACATAACCTCTTTTTAGGTTTGGACGACTCTGAAGACGAAGATACAAGTAAAAAGAAGAAGAAGAAAGTACACTTTGTGGACGAACCAGAAAATCCTTTATTAACAGACTTAGATTACAGAGATAAGAAAACTAAAAGAATTCATAAGGCAGAACTGTGGTTCGAAAAAGATGTATTTAAGAATTTAGATGATGAAGAAGATGAAGATTTAGAGTTGGATAAAATGATTGAAGAATATAAAAAGGGTGGAGGTCGTGTGTTAGGAGAAAATACAGATAGTGACAAAGAAAATAAAACGGTAAAACAAAATAATGTTAATCATGATGTTGATGATGATGATAATGACGACAAGGACACAAATTCTGATTATGATATGGAAGAGATGATGGGTGACAATAAAACTAAAAACAAAACTAATACTACAAGTAAGTATATTATTCTACAGCAAATTATTTGTTATATGAATAATTTATTATTATTTTGTGACAGGTACCAAATCAAAAAAGAGGAAGCACTTATCAGAGAATGATCTAGCACTAGGATCATTATTAATTCAAAGTAAAAAAACTCGAAGGGATTTAGTGGACTCAGCATGGAACAGATACGCATTTAACGATGAGAAATTGCCAGACTGGTTTATACAAGATGAAGAGAAACACATGAAGAAAGACGCACCCGTACCGAAGGAACTTGTCGACGAATACAAGAAGCGGGTCGAGGATTTGAATGTTAGGCCAATTAAGAAAGTATTGGAAGCAAAAGCAAGGAAGAAAAAAAGAGCAGTGCGTAAATTGGAAAAAGCTAAGAAAAAAATGGAACAGATAATGGAAAGTGCGGAGATGAACGAAAGAGAAAAGGCGAAGCAATTACAAGCGTAAGTACAATGGATTAACTCTAATAGATACTGATAAAGTAAAGGGATAAGCTTAACAATATCTATATTTATTTCCATGTGTTCAGATTGTACAAGAAAGCTCATAAGGAACCGAAAAAAGAGGTTACGTACGTGGTAATGAAGAAGCATATGGCACAGAAGAGAGTAGCCAGACCGCCGGGTATTAAAGGACGTTACAAGCTGGTTGATCCCAGAATGAAAAAAGACTTACGTGCCGCAAAGGCGAAGGAAAAAACCAAAGGACGTGGAAAGAAAACTCGCGGTGGCAAACCACCTCGTGCAAAGGCAAAAACTAACAAGACAAAAAAATAAATGTTTCCGTGTGAAACTTGTACATAAAAATGCTTTGTGTACACACAAAGAAATTAAACCGTTTTGTACATATCATCTTTTAATATTTCCATCGTAATTCCTTGTTTTATTACAATTAATCTATGTTTTTTTGCAGTTTATTTTGATATTGAAAATATAACAGATTTGAATGACTGGATTTAGCGAGTTTGAAAGATATGACCTTGCAAACTCATCCAGTGTCATATAGCGAGATTATAGTATAAACATCGCTGTCGAAGTTAAATGCAGTATCACGATTCATGAAGCGATATAGGATGAGGTTAAACGATACAGATAAACATCGCTACCTGTCCATCCACGTGAAACCTCCCACCATGATCGATTTGAACATTATGCCACTCTTTGCCCCGCTTCAACGTTAACGGCATCCTTCCCAAGTGTATTCCGTGCACCGAACATTCTGATGCAATCATGGGCTGCGTAGCATCGGGACGCTGCGGTCGATGTCAAGGACAAGGCCGATGGCATTTAGAAAGATCGTTTTACGTCGACATCGTTGCAATGAAAGTGGCGTCGGAACTTTTTTTTGGCTTCGCGCCAAAATTCGCATCATCTCTTCCGGCTTCGTTCATTTCTACAAAACGTGCAATTTTTTATCGTCGAGAGAACGTTATTATCTAAACGTATCTTTTAATTGACAGGAAATTCCACCTCTGATGTAACGCGGACATAACCTGTGGTCAATGTCAAGAACTCGCATGATGCGACGGATTTTTTTACAAATATGCAGTCGAGATAACTGAAATAAACATGCGTATATATAGAATAGGTTAAGCATTTGTTTACTTCAATTGCCTTGAAGTTTGTACAAAACTTGTAGTTTACGTACTGAGATATATGGTGACTTACCGTAAATATTACTTACAAATTCTACAAATTTACAATACAGTATATACAATATAAATGTATTAAATAAGTAGAATATACAAAATTACTTACTGCGTCAAATTTATATTCTTGTTTTTTCGAAAGTTACAAAGATTGCACTGTACCTAGTTAAGACAGTATTTGCATTGACGACGTTAAAACGATTTGCATTTAATTTCAAACAAGATTCTATTAACTTGTACTTGTTTTCATTGCCATGAGACGATTTTAGAAAGTCGTAATAGTTTAATTTTAAAGGACTAGATCTCGGATATAGTAACATCCACTTGTTTCTAATTTACGTAAAGCGTGCCAAGTTTGCATTTGGCGCCAAACACTTGTAGGTGATATAAATCTTACAGTGCGTTGGCGCCAAGAGCCTCAAAAGAGGACATGTTTTCAACTTTCGATTTCTGTTGATTTTTATATCCCTAAGTTTCTAAATTTTTATGGACTATTTATAGGATTATATGTATTCCTACATTTATTTATTATTTTTAGTATTTTTGGTATTTTTGGTATTTTTAGTATTTTTCGTATTTTTCATATTTTTAGTAATTTTAATATTTTTAGTATTTTTAGTATTTTTACTATTTGTAGTATTTTTAGTACTTTTAGTATTTTTAGTATTTTTAGTATTTTTACTATTTGTAGTATTTTTAGTACTTTTAGTATTTTTAGTATTTTTAGTATTTTTAGTATTTTTAGTATTTTTAGTATTTTTAGTATTTTTAGTATTTTTAGTATTTTTAGTATTTTTAGTATTTTTAGTATTTTTAGTATTTTTAGTATTTTTAGTATTTTTAGTATTTTTAGTATTTTTAGTATTTTTAGTATTTTTAGTATTTTTAGTATTTTTAGTATTTTTAGTATTTTTAGTATTTTTAGTATTTTTAGTATTTTTAGTATTTTTAGTATTTTTAGTATTTTTAGTATTTTTAGTATTTTTAGTATTTTTAGTATTTTTAGTATTTTTAGTATTTTTAGTATTTTTAGTATTTTTAGTATTTTTAGTATTTTTAGTATTTTTAGTATTTTTAGTATTTTTAGTATTTTTAGTATTTTTAGTATTTTTAGTATTTTTAGTATTTTTAGTATTTTTAGTATTTTTAGTATTTTTAGTATTTTTAGTATTTTTAGTATTTTGAATATTTTTAGTATTTTTAGTATTTGTAGTATTTTTTAGTATTTTTAGTATTTTTAGTATTTTTAGTATTCTTAGTACTTTTAGTATTTTTAGTGTTTTCATTTTTTGTTATTTGTATTATTTTTATTACTTTTACTATTTCTATTATTTTTATTTTTATTATTATTTTATTTACTATTTTTTTGTAAATCTAATATCTCTAACGTATCCAACTTTCCCAGAATGTCCCTAGATCCCCACCCTCAGGTCCACAAATTTCTACACTTATTTCCCGCAAGATAATTTACTTGTACAGTAATATTTTAACCCGAATAAGTTTAATAGCGATAATATCACAGTTTTACTCTTTTTCACAGATCTATAGCCAAGGAATACTCGACGCATGTTACTCGGTCAAGTTTCCTGGCTTAGGATCTTTTATGAAAGGTTGTCAATGTGTCGGTGTATCTTTACGCGGTTGGCGCTTACGTCAAGGGCGACCTCGACTTTCCACCGTCTCTAATCTGTACGAGAATCGTTCGCGAGACAAGCATTCCATTTTCATTGTGCTAGGTATAACGTTAGTTATAAGGCTTGTAATCTTTTTACCACATTTTCCATGAATATATTAGACCTTCCTTTATCGACGTCACTTGTCAGAGATGCTCGATATCTTTTTTGGTACTTCACAGATATTAGGTATCGATAACATCGGGAGGATTATTGTGGTCGATAAGGATATTACCGATGTAGTGACATTTTGATATATTGCCGATAACGCTGACAATATTTCAGTTATGATATTTGTTGATAACAGCACATTTTATTATTGGTGCATTTTGTGTAATTTTAATAAAGACAGTTATAATTCTATTTTAGGTCAAGATCTAGGGATTTATGGATATGGAAATTTGCAGGAATAGGGATTTTGGGATTTGGGAATTTTTGAATCTAGGAATTTGAGGATTGAGAAATTAGGGAATCTAGGGATTTGGAGTTATGGAACTTGGGGATCTAGGGATTTTGAAATTTGGAGGTCTAGGGATTTGGCATTTGGAAATTTTGGGATCTGGGGATTTTGGGATTGAGAAATTAGGAAATCTAGGGATTTGGGGTTATGGAACTTGGGGATCTAGGGATTTGGAAATTTGGAGGTCTAGGGATTTGGCATTTGGAAATTTTGGGGTCTGGGCATTTTGGGATTGAGAAATTAGGAAATCTAGGGATTTGGGGTTATGGAACTTGGGGATCTAGGGATTTGGGGATTTGGCGGTCTAGGGATTTGGCATTTGGAAATTTTGGGATCTGGGGATTTGGGGATTGAGAAATTAGGAAATCTAGGGATTTGGGAATTTGGAAATTTGGGGGCTTAGGGATGTGACATTTGGAAATTTTGGGATCTCAAGATTTGGGGATTGAGGAGTTAGGAAATCTAGGGATTTGGGGTTTTAGTGATTTTTGGATTTGGAAATTTGGAGATCTAGGAATTTTTTGGTTTGAAAATTGGGAGATCTAGGGATTTCAGTTTATGGAACTTGGAAATCTAGGGATTTTTTATTTGAAAATTGAGGTTCTAGTGATTTGGGGATATGAAAATTTGCGGGTCTAGGGATTTTTAAATTTAGGCATTTGGGAATCTAGGTTAGGATGATGGTCACGTGACCCATAGTCACAATAGATGACCCATAATAATCCTATACTGTGACAAGTTTAATACATCATATTTCTCACTATTAAATATTCCATGTAAGTATTTATATCGATGCTATTAAACCTACTTATACATTACATATTTTTCCTCGTTTAAACGACACAAGTGTACAAAGTTAAAGGCTATCTCCCATTTATCTGAAACCCAGCTAAAATATATCCGAGCAAACAAAACTTCGCCCACATGTCTCTAAAAACGCATCTTGCAACCTTTATTGTTATTTAGCCTTGAACCACAAAAGCAGAAGCCAGAAATCGAACCGGATCGCAACACGGTGATTGATAGTAAAAGTAACCCACGCGAGCATAGAAACAGGAATAAACGTCGGAAGCGAGATGGAAAATATAGAAAATGGAATAAAAGGTGGGAGGTAGATGTAGCGAGACAAGGGCTGACGCGCGGTAATTGAGAATCGTTAACGCGTCCTCGAGGGAGATCGAGCGGCTGGATTTTGTTAGCTTCTCTGTTGCTCCTCGGCGTCGTTGCCATCAGCCTGTCTCCCTCTTCTCGTCTCGGTTTCCTGGCCACGGTACCGGTGACCTTCAACCGTTCAGGAGTGGATGGACCTCGTTGGCCAGCGGGCCGAGGTATAAGGTCAAGGTTGTTGTTGTCGTCGATGTGCATGGGATATGCGACCTCCGGATGCATCGAGCGAGATGCGCGCGCAGCCGCGCATGCGCGCTGCCCTGCAACTTGTCGTACGTCGCAGCGTGTCGCGCAAGTCATTGCCAAGGTCTTCGCTGGTCACGGGCAAACCGTTATAACTAGCGATGGCTACGAGCTGTTACGTTATTTTAACTTTTTCTAAACAATCGTGGAATTAGAAAACATAAGTATTTTCCAAAATCTGTTGCGCTTATGATTTAGACGTTTCAGCATCTAGTATTTGGCTGACGCATTTACTTATGTTATGCGATACCAGACATTTGTATGTACATGTAGATTTAATTTGAGGATTTAGGAATTGGGGAATTATAGAATTTGGAATTATGGTATTGGGGAATTATGGAATTGGGGAACTACGGAATTGGGGAATTATGGAATTGGGAAATTATGGAATTGGGAAATTATGGAATTGGGAATTATGGAATTGGGAAATTATGGAATTCAGAAATTTTAGAATTGGGAATAATGGCATTGAAGAATTATGGAATTGGGGATTTATGGAATTGGGAAATTATGGAATTGGGAATTATGGAATCGGGGAGTTATGGAATCGGGGAGTTATGGAATTGGGAATAATGGAATTGGAGAATTATGGAATTGGGAAATTATGGAATTGGAAAATTATGGAACTGGGAAATTATGGAATTGGAAAATTATGG